CACTAGAGGCGGTTTAGCCAATCACAACACACTGGGCCAGCTAACCAATCAGAGCCCATCGCCTATTTCTGAGAGAGGGGCTTCATAAAAACAGGACATCATCAACGCGTTTATAGAAGAAGGGACAGAGCAGTGTAGAATAAAGATAAATTATGTGAAAAATAATGTTTTTTTAAAAAAAGCGAAAACGTTAGACTGCACCCCATAAACACAATCAAGCCTAGAAAAAAACCAGTCAACCACCCCTTTAATTATTAATTAATTAATTTATGATTGAAGATGATGATTAGTATTATGATTATTATAAGTAATAGTATTAGCAGTCGTATTATTATTATTAGTAGTAGTTGTAATAGTAGTTGTAGTACTGCTAATGAATGATAAAATATTGATCATGAATATTACATATACATTTAGTCATTTAGCAGACCATTTTATCCAAAGTGACTTACAAATGAGCAATCGAAACCAACAAAAAGCAATAATTTTATGAAGAATATTATGTTTTTAACAATAATAATAATAATATTTTTGTCTTTTTTTTTTTGCAATTCACAATCCTAAATATAATATTTAGATAATATTTTATATTATTTTATATTTATTTAATATTATTTATATTAATTATTGACAATAAGTATTATAAAATATTAATTTAATATTTTTTATATTTTATAAAATATAATGATGACACAAAGATAAATATGCTGAAATTAAACCTTTGTTTACACAGTATTAGTAGTAGTACTAGTAGTAATAATAATAACAATAATTATCATAATTTATTTTCATTTTTACAAATCCAAAATCTTAAATATAATATTTAAGACAAATATGCAGAAATTAAGTTCAAGTTAACAAATTAAACATTTGTTTACACAGTATTTACACAAAATACATTCAAAATATTTCAAAGCAGAACATGTTCATTATTTATTGAGAAGTCAGTTTATTGATCAGTCAAAAATGTTTATTGGCCAATTGCAACAAATATCAACATATTGGCTGATTAGGAGCTAATATTTTTCTAAGATGTCAAAATGATAGCTTTACTAATCTTCTAGCCAATTCTACACTAATTTTCACCTAAATTTGATGCTACTTCTTAATAGACAACATTTTTATTGAGAGATAGGTTTAACTGATTTAACAAAGTATCACCTGAATGTATTTTAGAGTTTTTCTCTTGTATTAATCTTAAATGTCTCATATAGCTTTTTCTTAATTGTATGACTCACATTATTCACTTTATTTTCACCATGAAAATGACAGCATTAAAATAAAATAATTAATATGCTACTTGTTAAAGTCCCCATTTGTATCGTATGTTATTCAGTCCCCTCAGCTACCCAGCGGTCAACCGCTACTCTTCATCCTCGCTGTCGTCGCAGGCCTCCAATGAAGTGAGCAACATCACGGGCCAATCAGAGAGCTCAGATGAAGTCTTCAACATGCAGGTGAGTGCTTGGGCTGTTGCCATTGGATAACTACTTACACACCGGCAGACTCTCTGTTCTCTCGCTGTCTTTCATATTTCCTCCTAATCTCCCTCTTTCTCTCCTGTTCTTTTTCTCTGCTTCTTTTTCTCTCCTAATTGCCCTCTTTCTGTTTTCATCTGTCTCTCTCACAACCCCGCTTAATCTTCCTGTCTCTGTCTTTTCTCTCACTGTGAGAATCGAATTTTTAGGTGTGAATTATAGACTGGACGGACAGATCATTTAGCTTTTTTCTTTTATCCCAGACCGAATGATTATTGTATAACCTGTCCATATTATAGACTGACAACAAAGAAGTCTGTGGACTCTTTCTTATGTTTCTCACGTTTTTTTCTTCTCTTTCCAGCCAAGTCCGTCTACCTCAAGTCTCAGTTCCAATCACTCTGCCTCTCCCAACGTGACCAGCTCGGCTCCGTCTAGTGCCAGAGGTGAGAAGAGTCTGTCTGCTCTCAGAGCAGCCATTCCAAACCTTTGCTCCTTTGCAGTATGTCTATATCAAGCTTTTATTTCGGTGTTCACACAGCAGAGCTACTGAGGTTTGATGCCGGCACAGTAACACAAGAACGCATGTTAAATATATTACAGCGACCAAGCATTCTTGGTGATATTTTTATACTTCATTTTAAGTATTTTTTTTAACCTAAAGGTCAGAGAGAGGTTAGTAAACCTAAATTATAACTTGTTGATGCAAAACTGAAGTTACGGAAACTGTTTTACAACTAAAATTAATCATTCTTATTTGTGACTTGTTCTTATTTGTGATTCTTATAATGCAAAGTCATAGTTGCCCTTTTATTCCAGTAACTGTGACTTTTTTCCTGTTAGTTTTAACTTTATTTTTGGTATTTGAGTCTTAAAGGTGAACTATTACGCCCCTTTTTACAAGATGTAAAATAAGTTACCCACTTTGCTGATGTCCCCAGAGTGTGTATGCAATACCCCACAGATAAGTTTTTATAGCTTGGTAAAGTTGCCACTTTTAGCCCATGTCCACACGTACATGGGTAATTTTATAAACAGTTTTTCCTCCTTCCGTTTTTAGAAAAATCTCTGTCCACATGAAAATGCAAACGCATGCTATGAAGCACTCTCAATAGCATGCCAAACCAACAGGTGGCAATATAATATCAACCATAAAGCCATGTTGGCCAATCAGAAGCCTGAAAAATTTTCCAGTAGGCGGAGATAACAGAGCATGCTCCGACGTCACAAGCCAAAATCTCCGGTTTTGCTGTCTACACGATAACACTGCAACCGGAGTTTTTGAAAATCTTCACCCTGGCAAGAGTTTTCAAAAATGTTCAGTTTCAGTGACCTGGTGCAGCATTTACGTGTGGACGAACGGCCAAACCTCATAGAAAGGCTGCGGTTTTGAAAATAACCACGTTCGTGTGGACAGGGCCTTAGGGTATGAGCCAAAATGCACCATTTTTGTGTTTGTCCCTTTAAATGCAAATGAGCTGCTGCTCTGGCCCCCTTTTCAGAAGAGGGCGGAGCTTTAGGAGCTCATGCTCCGGCATACTGACAATAACAAACAATCTCATGCACTAAAATGTCATATGCATTTTGTCATATTACTTTCATATGCAATTTTTAACTACCACGTTACTATTTACGATCATTCTGGTAGCACGTGAAGGCAGTATCAATGAAAACAGACAGAGACAATGGTAGCTTTAGCAATATTAGCCTTACAGAGTGCCAAGAAGCTCTTTCAGAAAGGCAATTTGGAAAACAAAATATGACGCACTTACTTTGTCTGGAGCTGACGTTTGCGCACGAAGCGTTGGTGTTGATTCCTTTTTCAGAATAAATATATATCTATATAAGACTTTACAGATTTTTTACGGGACATTTCCTTCGAAAATTTAACTTAACCACAGTGTCCTTAGTGGCTCAGATGGAGGGAGTCTATAGGAGACTCCTATGTTCTTAACACACGACACTTGTAATGCCTCTTTGGCGCTGACATTGTATATCTCCAGCAGCTACAGCAAGAAAACAGTAATGGCGGACTGCTGCTTCTCACTCAGGGCTGTGTTTATTAGGGGTGTAACGGTACACAGACGGTTCGGTACGTACCTCGGTTCGGGGGTCACAGTTCGATACGATTTTGATACAACAGGGAAAAAAAAAAACAAATCTACTATACTAGGTTTCTTTTCATTTATTTTGAACAGACAGTAGTACAAATGAAAAATGTTTCCACCTAGATGTGAAAATACTAAATATTATATAAAATTGTTTTATATATATATATATATATATACGTTGGAACGCGACTGAAGTACAAAGCCTATAATTTACATAATAAATAATAGTTTAGCATTCAGATACATCGCAAATATGGAAATATTATGGAATATTTGGATTTGTGCCGAATGAGAGAGGTAGGATACACGAGCACAAAGCTCCATTTCGCAAACAGTTGAGTGTGCAAGCCTTTAAAGTATACTCTTTTGTCAGTGAGAGACGCGTTCAGAATCAGCACATGGTCACTGTCTAGTAGGCTTTGTTTTCAAGTGTGCAACTCATGGCATTCGCTCGCTGTTCATCTGCTGGCGGTTATCAAACAGCATTACATTTCTGCGGGTGCCCGTAGTATGTCCGTACCGTGACGATTCGGTACGAATGCTTGTATCGTTACACCCCTAAATGCTAATAGGGCAGAGACCGTCACAAATGGGCGGGGATTTCTCCCTACAATGACGTGTACGTAGGGAGAATCTGGAATCGCTTGTTCTGAGAGACTGTTTATGATTTATTGGGAGTATAAAAAAATTAGTGGGTGGATTTTTACCGTCATAGGCTGGTTGTTTTCACACACTGCAGCCACACAACTGTGTTCAAACACCTTATAAAAGTGAATTTTGCATAATAGGTCCCCTTTAAGATATCACAGTACGACATATCTTAATTTCTTATGACTTATGTAATTTAGACATATATCACATTGCAAAAAAAACTCAATTGCGAGAAATTATTACTGTTTTTCCATATTGCATCTTTATTATTTGTTGCAATTACAACTTTGACTTTTTCTTAATTTAAGCTTTATTGCAATTACCTTTTTTTTAACTCTGATTCAGAATCAGGCTTCCATAATAAACAGATTTCCACGTTAAAAATAAAATGCTACAGCGCAGCGAAGTCTATGGCCCATTTAATGCTGTTTTACTGTGGGTTACAAAAAGTCGGCGTCCTGATATATAGCAGAACTCTCCCCTCTTTTTCACTCTCTGCTCTGCTCTTCCTTGGCTTCTTATCTTCCTCCATCCAGCATGTATTTACTTGCGGACACAGGTCATAAAAACAGGAATATGTATGGAGACATTTATGTAATCTTATAGTCTCCCCTTGGCAGCCCTCCATGCCTCCCATAGAGACCCCCATAAAGCAGCGGCAGACAGTAAGCGCTTCTGGAGAATAACAGATGGCATAAAATGCAGCTTGAAGAACTCTAGACTGATGATGACTATCACCGGGGCGCATAAGGGAGCCATGGCCTCCTGTCCTGTATTGGAGGAGGAAGTTAGTGTTCTGAGCAGGTCCAGGCCACTCCCCATGACAGCTAGTCTATCTCTCCCTGAGAAATAGCCGTCTGTCACCCCAGCAGAACAATTCTCGCCTTAGCGGGAGGGAAAGACGAGGACTAGCCTTTATTTCATGTGCTGGCTGGTTAGCAAAGAAATGAGAGCAAGATCTATGTCCTTTTTCTGTCTGTGTGTGTGTGTGTGTGTGGGCATTCGTGTTGGTGTGTTGCTGAAATCACACCCTTGCTTACACCTCCTCACCCTTCACAGGTTCTCCACAGTTGTCAGATAAACACAAGCATTCCCGAGAGAACTGCCTCTCGCCGCGAGAGAGACCCTGCAGTGCCATATATCCAAACCCCCTGGATCCCGCACAGGTATGAAGATGATTAGAATATCAGTGTTTTTAATATTCACCAGTGTTCAGGTCATATACTGTAGGAGTGTTTTTGGAAGCTTTTTTGTGTACTGGTTGGGTTTACCTCTCTTTCCCATCATAATTGTAAGATTTGCATTAACCGCATCTTTAAAAATGACCATGTAAAATTGATTTTGTGGAAACTATTAGTGAGGTAAAGTATCTACGCAGAAGACTGAGCAACATCATCAGGTCAAATCTGCTGACGACTTCACAATTTAATTAACAGTAATTAACAGAATTAAGACTATTTCCCAAATTTAAAACTTTCTTGCAATTGAGACTTTATTTCTCATGACTGAAACTTTATTTCTCATAATTAAAACTTGATTTTTCATAATTGAATTTTCCTCCCTATTACAATTTGCTACTGATTCTGGGGAATGGGAATTCTGTTAATTCACAAATTAAATAATCTCAATTACGAGAAATAAAGTTTTGATTACAAGAAAGTCCTCATTACAAGAAACTTATTAGTTTTAGTAACAGTTATTAGATTTAAGGGGGCAATTACTTTTTTACGTAGTGCCAGGCAGGTTTGGGCAGCTTTTTTTCCTTAATAAATGAAATCATCATTTAAAAACTGCATTTTCTATTTACTTGCATTATCTTTGTGTAATATTAAAATTTGTTTGATGATCTGAATCTTTTAAGTGTGACAGATATGCAAAAAAAAAACGGGAAGGGGGCAAAAACCTTTTCACGTTTTTTTTTATATTTAAAGAATTTGCCACTGACGATTCAAACGTGAGTTTTGAGCAGTGTAGAGTAGCACTTGTTGTTTGTCATTTCTCCGATCACAAATGCAGACATGGTTTTATGTTTACACGGCGCGATGCAACGCAACACATAAAAAGACTCATTATAAAAAAAAAAAAAGTCATTATAATCCATAATTATGTCCCCACTGAATGCAACTAGGCATGGGCCGGTATGAGATTTTGATGGTATGATAACCTTAAGCAAAAATATCACGGTTTCACGGTATCACGGTATTGTCATTACGTCCCCCTGTCCCTCCTAGACCACCGTACTCAGGTAAAGAAAGAAATCTGCTCCGACTGATCCTTTAGACTCACATAGATGTTTCCAAAGGCTTTTAACTCTCAGATCTTCCACTCTTCTGCTCTAAAGTCTCCTGGTTTCTCGTTCGTCTTAACTTCTTCGTCTCTCTGCATCATGAGGGCTGTTGGTTGGACACATCAGTGAGAATTTGAAGATACTCTCTCCATATATTTAATGAGAAAAGGCACATCATCTAACCAACGGGATCCTTCCCACACACTCTTTTGTTTATAATGTTCTTGATGAGCTTTCTTGCAGCATTTATGTCTTTAAACTGCATGACGTGTATTTAAACCTCAGTCTGCACGTTGCTGCTTCATTACCTTTCAGATGTTGGTCTGCGTTGTCTTTTCTGCATTGTCTTACTTTCGTTGTATGTATGTGTGTATTTATTTATTTTAATATAAACTATAACTAGTGTTTTTATCATCTTTGTATTATTTTTTATATGAATTTCAATATGATAAATTACTGTTATTACATTTCATAACTAATTATTATGTAGTATATTTATAGCTAGTATATTTACTATATTTCAAATTATATATTATATATAGTCCACTATAAATATAGTAGTTATAGCAACTATAACTAGTATTATGTAATATTTCGTATTATTTGCATACATTAATATAATACTATTATGATGATGAACTATACAGTAACTAGTTTATTTAAAATTTGTATTGTTTTTATATTATTTTATTTTTATATTTAAGTTTTTATAAACAATAAAAATAATAATAGTAATTATTAGGTATAATACTATATATATATATAATATAAATACTGTTATTATTAATATAATAATAATATAATATATATAATAATATAGTTATTATTCATATTATTATGAAGTGACTTTCAGATCAAACTATACAGTAACTTATTTGACATTTTTATTATTTTTATATAATTTTTTATTTTAGCTTATATATAATAAAAAATAATTAATACTACCTCTTATTATTATTATATAATGTTATTTATAATAATAACAGCAGTTATTATTATCATGATTGTTATGAAGTACCTTTTAGGAATATAAATAATGCAACTTCTTGATCAGTTTATCAAAGAGTGGATGGGAAATGGTCATGAAAAACTAAATTATGACTCTTTTTGACACTCCAAAATTTCTCTAACATTATAAGTAGACCTCAGGGAACAGATTGCATTATAAAAAAGTATGATACGACCCTTTTAAGGGTCTATATCTGTGGACTCTAATTGAGCTTCCTAGAAAAGAACTGGTACTGTGCCGAATGGTTAAACTGTTTTGCATTAGCCGAGCGACCTTGACAAAGCGTTTCCCTGATAAATAGACAGCCGTGACCGTGTTTACTGTCCCAGGCTCCTGTATCAAGTGAAGAAGATTGACTTTTTGTGTCCTTTAATAGGATCTCCTGCCAAGACTACACGATCACAGTCCCCCGTGATGACATCACGCTCGCCGCAGAAGGTATGACCTTTTCTTGTTGTCTGGGGTGTTTTGTGAAGTGACCTTTGATGTATTTACTGGTGTGGATGTTTACTCTGTAGTGTCTGGGGACTCAATCCAGGCCGTCTAAACTGGGTCAGACTCAAGTCAATCCAACTGGGCCCACGATTAGACAGATTCACGCCAGTCCTGAGCAGTTGGGTTGGCAGCGATCCGGTGCAGATCCTCCAGAAATCACTAACCCATCTAAAAGTCCTCCATCTCAATGGTGGCACACATAGATTGCTGCAGCAAATATATATGCATTACCGTTCAAAGGTTTGGGCTCAAGATATTGGAAATTGATACTTTTATTTAGCAAGGATGCATTAAATTGATCGAAAGTGACAGGAAAATAATGTTACAAAAGATTTCTAATTTGAAAAAAATGCTGTTTTTGTGAACTTTCACTTAAAAAATTGTGAATAAATGATCAGTTTCCAGAAAAATATGAAGCTGCACAACTGTTTTCTGCATTGATGATAATCATAAATGTTTATTGAGCAGCGAATCAGCATGTGACACTGAAGACTGGAGTAATGTTGCTGAAAATTTAGCTTTGCATCACAAAAATAAATTACATTTTAAAATATATTCAAATAGAAAACAGCTATTTTAAATTGTAATAATATTTCACAATATTACTGTTTTTACTGTATTTTTAATCAAATAAATACAGCATTGGTGGTGCAAAAGAGAAATAAAATAAAAAAATCATACAGACCCCAAACCTTTGAACCTTAGTATATTTGTCTCTCTATATCATTTTTGAGTCCAACGCTGTGTTTATGTACAATACCAATACAGTGAAGAAAAAATGACAGCTTTACTGAAACGCAGGTATCTGTATTGAAGAAACCACAGTATTTTTCATTCAAAGGGCATTATAGTCACGGATCTTAAAAAAAATGTTTGGAGCTGCTGCTATCGGTGTTGCAGTGAGTGTATTCAGGTTTTAAATAAAAGCACATTCTCCTCATTCAGAGTAACAGTCCTTAAAGCAGAACACCGCTGTAATGGCTTGTCAGAAACTCCTACTCAACACCGCCTCATTCAGCGCGTCTCATGTTGGTAATTACAGTTCTTGCCGTTTCCCTGAATTCTTGTCTTGTGCCACGTATTGATCCGTCACCTGGTATTCAGAAACACACACCGTATAAAACTCTAGAATCTATCCCATGTAAGAAAGGAAACTGTTCACATTTAAAGTGTAGATGACTGTGACTGTGTTTACTGTCCCAGGCTCCTGTATCAAGTGAAGAAGATTGACTTTTTGTGTCCTTTAATAGGATCTCCTGCCAAGACTACACGATCACAGTCCCCCGTGATGACATCACGCTCGCCGCAGAAGGTATGACCTTTTCTTGTTGTCTGGGGTGTTTTGTGAAGTGACCTTTGATGTATTTACTGGTGTGGATGTTTACTCTGTAGTGTCTGGGGACTCAATCCAGGCCGTCTAAACTGGGTCAGACTCAAGTCAATCCAACTGGGCCCACGATTAGACAGATTCACGCCAGTCCTGAGCAGTTGGGTTGGCAGCGATCCGGTGCAGATCCTCCAGAAATCACTAACCCATCTAAAAGTCCTCCATCTCAATGGTGGCACACATAGATTGCTGCAGCAAATATATATGCATTACCGTTCAAAGGTTTGGGCTCAAGATATTGGAAATTGATACTTTTATTTAGCAAGGATGCATTAAATTGATCGAAAGTGACAGGAAAATAATGTTACAAAAGATTTCTAATTTGAAAAAAATGCTGTTTTTGTGAACTTTCACGTAAAAAATTGTGAATAAATTATCAGTTTCCAGAAAAATATGAAGCTGCACAACTGTTTTCTGCATTGATGATAATCATAAATGTTTCTTGAGCAGCGAATCAGCATGTGACACTGAAGACTGGAGTAATGTTGCTGAAAATTTAGCTTTGCATCACAAAAATAAATTACATTTTAAAATATATTCAAATAGAAAACAGCTATTTTAAATTGTAATAATATTTCATAATATTACTGTTTTTACTGTATTTTTAATCAAATAAATACAGCATTGGTGGTGCAAAAGAGAAATAAAATAAAAAAATCATACAGACCCCAAACCTTTGAACCTTAGTATATTTGTCTCTCTATATCATTTTTGAGTCCAACGCTGTGTTTATGTACAATACCAATACAGTGAAGAAAAAATGACAGCTTTACTGAAACGCAGGTATCTGTATTGAAGAAACCACAGTATTTTTCATTCAAAGGGCATTATAGTCACGGATCTTAAAAAAAATGTTTGGAGCTGCTGCTATCGGTGTTGCAGTGAGTGTATTCAGGTTTTAAATAAAAGCACATTCTCCTCATTCAGAGTAACAGTCCTTAAAGCAGAACACCGCTGTAATGGCTTGTCAGAAACTCCTACTCAACACCGCCTCATTCAGCGCGTCTCATGTTGGTAATTACAGTTCTTGCCGTTTCCCTGAATTCTTGTCTTGTGCCACGTATTGATCCGTCACCTGGTATTCAGAAACACACACCGTATAAAACTCTAGAATCTATCCCATGTAAGAAAGGAAACTGTTCACATTTAAAGTGTAGATGACTACATAGAAATCAAATCATTCCTCCTCCTGGAAATCAGAAATGCTGAAATCTGTCAAGCTACTAAGAACAAAGCAGAGAGGGAGAGATTCGGATGGAAAGAGATCTCAGCAGGAATGCTGGTGAATTTCCTGAAGGAAGTGCAGTCAAGTGTGTCGGAAAGGGAAAGCATAACCTGTGTGACCACCTGTGTACGGTTGTTTGCCTCAGAAATAGTCTCATGCCTGAAGCTGTACTGTGACATATCACACACACGCATGACCAAACACACACACATGCACACACACACAAGTACAGATTCTACAGTCAGTCACAGCTGGAAAAACCAACATCGACCAGCGCAAATTTCCATTCTGGTCCAGGATATTTTACGCTATCCAGTTTGAATTGGATAGTCTGAAATCTTCAAAACAAGATTGCATTTTATGTTTGAAATAGGCAGTCGGATAACAGTGGATTGTCTGAGACTAATGCTAAATATTCAGGTTATGGTGGCTAACTAATAAATGGTCAATATTCAAATTCTACATTATTTCGTCTAAATAAATCAAGCAAAACACTAAAAAGTGAATTTAGGCATCACATCATTATAATGTACAATATGAAAAATGGATGTTGATTCTGAGAATTCCATATTGCTGTGTTATTTAGTTATTATTAGAAAATGAGTTTGCACAATTAAATATCCAATATAATTCAGTTGAAATTATATATATAGTTTGAAGTTCTCTCAAGAGTGCAATCAGACTAAATACACTTTATTCAGTGAAATGAAGTCCTAGAAACAGCTGCAGTCTTAGTTGCGGATTTAATTGCCTAGAAATTATTTTCATAATGAAAAGAGAAAGTATTGCCTCGAAATAATGGAGCCAAAATTGCAGAATATTGTGCTTTGGCCTTCAGATTAGCTCTGTGAGACGGGACGTTGCTTCTGTTGCAGCTGATGCTTTCTTTATTAAGGGTTTCTGCTAGCAGAATGAGGTAACTTATCTTTTGCTAACTACATTTGTTTTCTCTCATCTTGTATTCGCAGACCTCTGTGCCTCCGTTCACCCCCTCGCCCACAGAGTGCCAGTCGACAGGGTTGGTGTCGAATTCTCCGGTGCTTTCCGGAAGCTACAGCAGTGGCATCTCGTCTCTCAGTCGCTGCAGCGTCTCTGAGGCCTCCGGAACTGAGAACACGCCCACTGACCACGCCTTCCCAAACTCCGCCTCCAGTGGATCAGACGAGCTCATTCGACGGGAGAACAAAACCCCGCCTCCCTACAGCATACACGATCGGAACAACCCCCGCAGACAGGTCCCACTTCCACCGAGCCTGTCGATTCCTCCAAGCATCGACGCACCACCTATTCCTCCCAAACCGCACCAGATTCGGAGGCAAGACACTGAGCCACGCCGACCGGACCAGTTTCCCAGACCCCGACCCATTCCCAGGAAAGTCTCACAGCTCTAACGCTGCGCCCTTCACTCCATCCCCACCATTTGCACTTTTACACTTAACCTCTCTGGGTTTACGATTACAAACTCCCGATTTAGATTAAAGGGGTTATATGATGTTGCTAAAAAGAACATTATTTGGTGTATTTGGTGTAATGCAATGCGTTTATGCGGTTTAAGGTTAAAAAAACAATATTTTCCACATAATGTACATTATTGTTTCTCCTCAATGCCCCGCCTTTCTGAAACGCGTCAATTTTTACTAAGCTCAAACGAGGCATTTGTTGCATCCAGTGGGGACATATGCTGATAATAATGACTTATACTGTGTTTTTACGCGTTGCGTTGCGTATTGCGTCGCGTAAACATAAAACCATGTCTGCATTTGTGATCGGAGAAATGACAAACAACAAGCGCTACTCTACACTGCTCAAAACTCGTGTTTGAATCATCAGTGGCAAATTCTTTAAATAT